TTTTACGGAGATGCAGGGCTTGTCTGACAAGGCTCACGCTTGTTCCCGCTGCCGAGGCAGCTGGGAGCTGAGCGGAGAGGCCAGGGGCTGAACGCGATGTTGCCGCTTGGGGAATCTGTCTTGGAGAATGAGATGCTAGATCCCAAGGGACACACATCCAGATGGGCCTCCTGTCCCTCCCCTGGCCAGGGAAGGAAAGAGGGGGCTAGGCCAGAGAACCCCTCAAAATAGAGGGAGCTGGGGGAATGTCACACACTATGATAACAGTTATTATAACAGTTTGTTGCTAATTATTCCAATAGTAGACATATCTATTTTTCACTGCACCACATGGCATGTGAAACCTCCCTGACCAGGGATCAAGCCCGTGTCCCCTGCAGTGGAACTGAGTCTTAACCACTGGACCACCAGGGAAGTCCACAGTATTCTGTATTTTTCACATTTGATTCCCACCATGATCCTTTGTGTAGGGATAGACCTGTATCCCCATTTGGTTAATGAAAAAGGGAGACCCAAAAACATTAGGTGGCTCAGTCCAGATCACAGGGCAGAGCCAGGTCCAGAGCCTGGCTTCCTGACTCACTCTTGGGAGTACCTTCTCTATCCCAAGTTGGGCAATCCCTCTGTTAAACTGAGCCACCAGCCTTGTGTTGCTCCAGAGACCCTGTGTGTGTGAAGCCCCTGAGAGAATAGAGAGGAGGGAGAAGGGGACTGGGCCCCTGCTTTGGGACGCTCCAGCAGTAGGACAGGAGTTCATGGGAGATGCAGTGAGGTTGACCTAAAGGAACAGGTGATGAGAGAGTGAGGCAGCCCAGTGAGTGTATCCACAGGAGGCTGCAACACCGACTGCAGGCGGGTCCACTTTAAAAGACACTGCGGCCCTTTCTGTGGACCACACCCATGAAGATGGAGCCAGTGAACACCCTGTGGATTCAGTACTGAAAAATCTGAGAGCCCAGGAGAGGTGATAGGATTTTTCTGTGGGGCTGGGGTCAACCCAGGAAGGCTTCCTGATGGAGGCAGTTCTGAGCAAAGCCTGGCAAGAAGGAGAGGACAGGCATCATTAGAGGGGGAAATGGAGGACCTGGGACAAAGAGGTGAAAGCATGTTTGGGATGGTGAGCAAGTTAGCTTGGAAGACTGGGGTGAGGGGACTTAGGGTGGGTGAGGGGGCCTGGGGTTGCTGGTGAGGGAGATGGCAGGCCAGATGTGAATTGGATATGCCAGAAACTAAGGGGCCCCTGAGGATGGTTAGAAGGGAAGAAATATGATCAAAACAACATGAAATGCTTTGCCAGGCTTTGTGTAGAATGAGTGGATGGAGAGACTGAGGGCAGGGTGGGAGGATAAACAGGCGGGAATTGGGAGTGGTCTGCTATGGGTTGAAGTCCCAGGGGCTGGCTGTGGAACCTAGGATTTTCAGGACGGCTGTGGGGCTCTAAGGACCCTCAGCATTTCTGACCCAGCCCTGCTGCCAGGTTGGCAAGATGGATGTCTCCCACAGCCTGTTGCCCCGCCCCACGACGCTTTCCTTCACCAAGCCAGGACCCAGCTTCTCTCTACAGGACGCCGGTTCAGTGCTGAATTCTGCCTCGGGCCCCAAGACAAATCTTGCTGCTCTGGGACGATGCCCTGCTGCTCCTTCTGCTCCGCTCCGGGGTGATGGATGGCTGCGGTAGGTGGGTGAGGAGCCTGCCTCCCGCAGCCCGCTTCAGATGATAAGAGTGGCTGGGAAGCAGGGTTCCAGAGTTACCAAAGAAGTGTGGCAGAGAGGACAGGCTAGGGAGGTGACCAGGGATGCTCCAAAGAGTGGTTCTAGAAGGAGTGGCTGATGCCACGGGCCAGGAGATGGTTGCACAGTAGCATACAGTTAGCCTGATACCAGATTCTTCTGAGTAGAAAGTAAGTAACATTTTGAAGCCTCATTTCTTGGTTTCTCAAGGCCAGCCTGCACTAAGGCCCTGAAAGACCCATAGTGGCTGGAGAGTGAGGGCCTGCTATTGTCTTCAAGGGCGAGCTGTGGCTCGGGGAAGAAGGAGGTAGTTTGTCCTTTATAGGCTGCACCCGGTGAGTCCCGCTGCAAAGTGGGAGCCCCAGCCTCTCAACCTTGGCCCTTCCCTCGGGGCTCCCACTGTGTGAGTTTCAGTGGAAGTTTCTTCTCTGTCTCTCTCTCTGCCAGGCCTTCCTGGGGAATTTTAAAGGGGTAAATCCTCTTCTTAAGATCGGGATTTAGGGGAACCCAGGATCTATAGGCACCTGTAAAACCAATTTAAAAATCAGTCTAGCCAACCAGCCCCCAAAGGAACCAAGGGAGCTATAGAGTAACTCAAAAGCAGACACTAATGGAGGAGAAAAGAAATGTAGTTACATATTCATCAGCTTTTAAATATTCATGAGGATTGTAAAGCAGATTAATTTTCATGCCTCATTTCTCCCGTGGTTCCCGCTGTCCATATTTTACCGCAGCAACAGAAGAGAAAGGAGCTGTGGATCACTTGGCCACTGCCCTCGCCATCATTTAAGGAGCAGGGTGCGTGTGCCTGTGTGTGATGGGCGGGGGACGGGAGGGGCGATCACTGCGGAGGTGAAGGTGTTCATCTCCTGAGGGGCAGGTCTCTTTGGCCAAGTCAAGATGATGTGAGGAGAGCAGGAACACAGCAACGCAGCATTGTAGGGAGGGCCAGGAAGTGGAAGGCCAGGAAGCGGCTGGGGGAGAGGGAGCCGTCTGGAGTGCTGGGGCTCTGGGGGCATTGAGATAATTGCCAGCATCCCCAGGGTGACGAGAGGAAAGGACCTTCACTGGACTCAGCAAGAGATTCATCTCCATTCCCTTAAACTAACTGTCTGAGACAAATGATTGAGGAAGGTGAGAGAGCAGGGGAGAGGGCATGCAGATGGGGAGTGAGGAAGGTGTGGGCAAGCCTGAAGGACAAAGAGGAGAAGGACGCCTGGGAGAGGAAGAAACAAGGGCAGGGAGAAAGAATCAAGAGCGCGACTAAGGGCCCCATCTGTTCTAGGGGAGAGCGTTAGAATAAAAGGACATCAGGCAAGACCAGTATGGATGGAGGCTAGATGTCTGGAAGGACTTTCAGATCCCAGGGCTCTTGGAGCTTCTTTCTGTAGGGAGTGGGAGGAATGCTCCCCTGAGTCACACACCAGCTATGAGGCAGAGGGAAGGCAGCCTGGGACCAGAGATGCGTTGATGATTGCTTGGGGAGCAAAGTCAATGAGAGCAAGGAGACTCAGTGTCAGATACGGGGTATCAGGGCGAGCCATCCTGGAGCCGAGGGGAGCAAACATCATCGTGCAGACTCATGAATGTGAGCGAGGGAGCCTACAAAATAGCGGGTGACAGGCCCTGGGGGACAGAGTGGCTATGCAGCTTCTTCTTGGAGGTCTTGGATCCTGGGCAGTGATGCGATCTGACAGCCCTTAGTGATTTGGGTCAATATGGAATAAAAGGAGGGACGAGCTGGCCTCTGAAGGCTCATCCTGGTTCCCCGGCTCCTGCCCCGTCTGTGGGGGCAGAGGGCTGTCCTTGGAGGAGGCTCCTTGAGGTGCTCTTGGGTGACCCTGGATGTCACCAGGCAATACTTCACAGTGGGTTTCTTTCCCAGCTTCTTCCCCTCCATTCTGTTTTGGATCTTTCCACTGAACTCCTGACTAGTGTCCAGTTGCCCACTGGATCCCTCCACGTCGGTGTGTAGAAGACATCCCGTACCTAACAGGTCCATCATCAAACTGATCTCTCCTGCCACCCCACCTACAGACCCAGTTGGCCTGCACCCATCCCTGTATTGGTAAACAGCATCTCCCCGCTTCTACCTGATCAGACCAAAAACCTTAGGGGTCATCCTTGATTGTTCTCTCTTTCACTCTTTTGACATAACATTAGGAATCTTCTGAATTCACTTCTCACCATGTCTGTGGCCACCACCCAGGTCCAAACTTCTCTTGTCTCAATTGTTACAGTAACAGCTTTCCTTCTGTGGCCACTAGGGCTCATCACAGCCCAGCGCCTCCCCTTGGTTTCTGATCATGTCTCTTTCTCATTCAAACCCTGCTGGCTACACTGGTCTCCCTGCTGTTCCCTGAGCAAGCCAGGCTTGCTCCCACTTCAGGGCCCTTGTACCTGTGGCTCATTCATTCCCTTCCTTCAGGGCTTGGCTCAGGTTTCTTTCACTGGAAGAAACTTTTGAGAGTCCCTTGGACAGCAAGGAGATCAAGCCAGTCAATCCTAAAGGAAATCAACCCTGAATATTCATTGGAAGGACTGATGCTGTAGCTGAAGCTTCAATACTTTGCCCACCTGATGTGAAGAGCTGACTCATAATAAAAGACCCTGATACTGGGAAGGATTGAGGGCAGGAGGAGAAGGGGGCGAAAGAGGATGAGATGGTTGGATGACATCATCAACTTAATGGACATGAATTTGAGCAAACTCCGGGAGATGGTGAAGGAGAGAGAAGCCTGGTGTGCTGTAGTCCATGGGGTCGCAAAGAGTCTGAACAACAAGACTTTCATGGTGAGGTTTTCCCCGAGTCCCTTATTTAAAATGCTGCTCTGTTCCCCAGCTTCTCTCTCTCTCCCTGCTCTGTTTGCCCCCTTACAGCATTGTTCATCTTCTAACATGCCGCGCAATTATTATGTTTATTACTGTTTATTGTCTGCCTCACCCACTGGAATATCAGCTTCATGAGGTCACAGATTCCGTCCATTTAGTTCAATGCTTTATTCCCAGCACAGAAAGCAGGGCCTGGCATACTGAAATCTATCAGAGAATTCCCCGATAAATGTTTCTTGCGTAGGAATCCTCCCCTTCAGCCCATAGATTAACTGCTATGGTAACTGCCCACCTGCTGAAAATGGCTGGAAACTGGACAGAAGGTATGAAACAACCACGTTCAGATAGTGGGCAACAGTCAGCAGAGGATGGTTGAGAGAAAGGTAACAGCCTGACCACAGCATCAGTTTCCACACTGCAGAAAGACCCATATGTCCTGAAAAGAGGCTGAAGGTTGGATTGATAAGACATGGGTTGAGGCTGAGGAGACTAGGATTTGTGCGGGAAGAATTCTGGAGAGAAGGGTGCTGCTCATAAAGGTTTCTGGAAATCTGTAGAAGGGGCCTCGAAACTTTGGCCATTGATTTGCACACAACTGGGGGTGAAACACCACAAAGTTAGGGAAAGAACCATCAGGAAGAAGACTGACCAATTGATAGAGCTCACCCAGGGCTGGAATGGGTCAGATTCCCACCAGTGATAGTGGAGGGAGCTTGTAGGAAGCGTTACATTGGATAGAGTCCTCAAGAGGATGTTTTACCTTAGCATGAGACCAAAAGCTGTCCTGGATCCGTTCTCATAGCCCTTAAAGACAACACTTAAAAAGGTTACAGTGACTCCAAATGACTGTGAGGTGGATCCGAGTCCAGCTCTCTTTAGAGGAATATGACAAAATCTAGACCCCAATGGAAAATTCACAATATTGGTCATCGAATAGAAAATTAACAGCCATGCAAAGAAGCAGAAAAATAGGACCTATAACCAGAAGAAAAATCAGTTCACAGAAAGAGACCCCCAAATGGGAAAGTTGATGGAATTAGCGGACAAGGATGCTAAAGCAGCGGTTATAAATATGCTCCATATGCTCAGAAGTGTAGAGGAAAACATGAACACGATGAGGAGAAAAATGGAAGGTTTTTAGAAAATGAACTTATAAAGATGAAAATAGATCATCTGAAATGAAAAATACTGTTGGACAAATAAATGATTTTGCTTCTGCCGCCGCCACTACCAGAAGCACGTGGAGAGTGGTGGCGTTTTTTCCCTTAACGCTTATTCCCCCGTAGCTAGCGCTTGCCCCTTCTGTGAGGGCACTGCGTTTGGTTTCTCAGTTGCCCAGGACTCTGGAGAAATGGGCTTCCTTTGTATTCGGTCCTCAAATGCAACCTGGCTCAGGTCGTAAGCAGCAGCTCTCCTGGGTCTTGTTTCAGCTAGTGTGTCCTGGACCCCGCTACCCTCTGATGCGAGCACTCCGCCTCCTGTCCTGCTGCTTAGTGAAGCCCTCCTCTCCAGCACCCCCGCCCCCCGTCATCCAGCAGGGCGGTATGGAGCTCTGGAGATGGGACGACGGCTCTGCACTATGGAGCCCCAAGTCTAGCCAGGGAGGCGCAATGCAAGGAGGAACGTGGCAAGGCTCGCAGATAAGTGTGGGTAAAGTATTTAGAGAGGGAGAAAACTTCATTTGGAGGGGAGGGAAGGCTTCATGGAAGAGGTGGCCTTTCTGCTGGGTTTTGAAGGATGGCCAAGACTTAGGCTGCTGGGAATGAAGGGACAAGCCTTCCGAGGCGAAGTCGGGAGTTGCCTTCAACTCCCTCACTCTTGTGTTCCCTGTCTGAACTCACAAGCACTCCCCTTTAAGGGCTCTAGTCAGCTCTTGGATGGGGCTTTGCTGTTGGGAGTGAGCCCTGTGGATTCCAGCTCCCCAGGATCTTCCCAGCAGACCAGCGACACCAGTGCGGGCAGCCTCAGGTCTCGATCACTCTTCACCTCCTTGGGCTGTAACCGGAGGGAACAGGGCCCCGGGTGCACGGTTTGTGGTCAGAGTATTTCCAGGACAAGTTCGAAGCCCAGCCTGAGGGAGCAGGTGTGAACCCAGACTGGATGACTCAGTCTTTCTGGCCCTCCGTCCCTTCCAGCTGCTCCCCAGTGTCCAGATCAGCCCTGATGCCGTGAGGTGCCCGGCCAGCGGCCAGTATGGCCTCTAGGTGTGCCTGCCTGTTTTGGGGCCTCTGAACACCTCGTTTCTCATCTTCCTCTCATCTCAACTTTGCTCTCCCCTCCCCGACCTTCTCCCCATCCTCTGTATTGGGTGCAATATGACCAGCTCCTACAAAGGGCACAGTTTTTCACCGGCTGCTTCCCACATACCACCTGACCCCCAAGGTGGCATGGTGGGCGTGTGCAAACAAGCAGGGCTGGGGGGTGGTGCAGGGCCCCCCCCCCAGGCGTGTTCAGTATAGATTAGGGAGAGCTTGTTAGTGACGATGACGTCACCGCACAGAGCCCGAGGTGGAGGACCAGGAGTGGGAGTTCCCCAAGGTGGGAGGTTTGAGCAAGGTGGGTGGGGAGCTTAGACACAGGCTTTGAGGTGACGCACGTGCCCCTCCTCACCTCCTACCTTCCTGCGTCTGCCACCTCCCCTGGAATGGCCTCCACTTGTCACCCAGGCCAGCTGTTCCTCCTCTTCCTCCCCCACACCAGGGAGGAGAGGTGTGTCCCCATGTGGCTGCCAGGGAGTCTGGGCGAGCTCTTCCCAACCTGAAGCTGCAAACCCCAGGCTGGGGCAGTGCTGCCTGTGGCCCTGGGTGGTGAGGCCCATCTGGGGAACTCTCAGAAGAGGGCACTGCAGGGGGGTAGAGGGGGGTTCTGAATCCTAACTTTGATGCCAGATGAAGCTGAGCCTGAATTCCGTCTCCACTATCTGTGAGCTGCAGACAAGTTGCATAACCTCTGCTCTTCTGCTCTTTCCCTATCTTATCTGTAGAATGGAGATAATTGCACTCCCGCCTTCCAGTAGGGGGCCTGCTGGGCACTGAGTAAATGCAGGTGTTAATTACCTTTCTGCTGCTGACGGACTTGCTGTGAGGATGGAGGCTGTGCCCCCACAGCCCTGTCCTGGCTCCCACTGCCCCTGCTTTCAGAAAGCTCCCAGCCTCCTGACTATTGTTCTGGATCCTTGTCTGACAGCCCCCGGAGGGACCCATTGCATCCTTAATTGCAATTCTCTTGCTTGGCAAAGCCATCAGCACCTAATGTCCCATGTCATTGCTGGTTCTCTGCCTGTGGACACCTCGCTCCTGGGGGCTGCTCAGCCACCCAGGATAACGCCATCTGGCCATGGATAACGCCACGGATAACTCCATGGAATGGCCATGGCGGCAGGGATGGGGGCAGGGCCAGGACCTCCCATTGATGCCTTGGTGACAGTTTGCCTACAAATAATTTAATATAAGAGGATGACGACCTCTGTGACTCTGTCTCTGGTCCTTTCTACCACTTAGGACTTTCATCTCTTCCCCTTTTTAGAAACCACAGAGGTACGTCTGATCTCCTACACCAGAGCCTTATCTATCTCCTCACCCAAGGGCAGGCCCTTAGACCAGGAGAAACTGAGGTTCCCTCCACCCACAACCCCACCCCAACTTGGCTCTGATGCCCGTGTGGAGTTTTAAGAGAGAGTCCAGTCAGGGCTGGGGAGAATGAGATTGGAGGAAGATTCAGAACCCAGTGGAGACTGGTATCAAGGGAGGGTTTATCTTAGGTGCCCAAGTTCTCATTCCAGGGTCTCAGGGGCCCCAGGTCCCCTGGGTTAGCACCTATGGTGAGCCCCTGCCTGCCCCAGCACCTGAGGAGCAGCCCTCGGGTGCCCCTGGCACAGGGAGCAGCCTCCTCAGGAGTTTACGTGCAAGCCTGGCCTGAGGGCGGCTTCGGCCATCCTCCTGGGTGGGGCGACAGGGAAGGGGCAGCTCTGCAGGGTTGCCCAGGTCAGGACCACAGACTTACTCAAAGGAAGCCGGGGGGGGCCTCCCCCCGTTTGAGAAAGAGCTCGGAGAGAGACCAGGGTGTGGGTGGGGTGGGTGGGGAGGAGCCTTCCAGCTGCCATCCTTGCCCCCTCCTCCCTGCCCCCCCCCACCCTGTCCTCCTGGCCACATTCCTGCCACCACCCCTCCCAGGCTCCGGGGGATGTGTCTCTTTTACCCTGAGCCCAGGAAGAGACACAACCCCCTTGGCTGTTTCCTCTCCGCATTGCTGGGATCCGCTGGCAATTTCACAAAGGGCTTCCATAAATACTAAGGGAGAACAAAAGGGAAGTAATTACAGAAAATACAAACAGCATGAAAACAGTCAAGTTTCTAAAGTACAGGTTTTCCCCGCCTCAGATAACTACCCTGGAGCTCAAGACACTGGCCTACCTTCCCCCAGCCCCTGCAGACGTGCCTCTTGGCTCCTGGGTGGTCAGGGCCCAGGCCAAGCCCCTCCCCACCACCGCCCCTCAGTTTCCCACTTGAGGATTTGCCTTGGTCGTAGCTGTAGTGACTGACACTCTGAGTAACTCACCACCTGGCTTCAGGTGGAGGCTTCAACCCCCTCCAGGGCACCTGCTGAGACAGGTCAGGCCCTATCCACACCCCTGGGCCCATCTGTCGCACACCCACTACCCCAGCACATCTTTGCTGTGGAATTACTGTCCAACTCCCCGTGGCCCCTGAACTGACCTGCTCACACATAGTAGAGGGCACACACAGCCTTTGTTTAGTGCAGCCGGATGCCCTGGCCTGAGGTTGATTGGACTAAAACTGGTACCTAAGCCAAGCTGAGATGGTCAGAATTCTGACTTTGAGGTCCTGGAATTGGGGCCTACAGGCCATCTCTTCATGCTGTTCTTTATTGATCCCATGTGGGCTTGGGACCCCAAATCACCATCTTGGATCTGGGGGTCTTCCTGGGTATGCAAGGAGAAGCCAAGGATGAGACGGGAATGCAGATGCCAGGTGGAGAGCAGGAGGTGGGAGCTCGCGGGTCTGTCTGGCTTGCCTGTCCTCGATGTCCTTGACTGAGGCATGACTGCGCTCCTGCGCTGGGGCTGTGTACGACACTCTGGTGTCCCTTTTGTAAAGTCCTCTTATTTAAATGCTACTTTGAGTTGGCTCTGTAACTTGCAATATCCGAGTCTCAGCCAATACCACCAGACCTATAATGGGGACACATAGGGTAGCAGGGGCCGCGGAGGACTCAAGCTGGGCCCATTCAGAGACTCGCCTGAGAGTCCTGAGAAGTCCCCTTCTCAGGAAAATGTGAGAGCATCGTGGAGCATCCATCTTTTCCAAGTTGGGGTGGGGGGCCTCGGGAGCCCCTGAATGGTGCTGGGCTAGCAAAGGGGAGATGTGTTAGCGTATTGTCTGCCCTTATGATCAACAGCGATGGGTCAGGGAGCGGCTGCCTCTTTCCTTCTAGCATTCCACTTCTGGCCAGCCCCCTCCCAACCCCTCCTGCCCCATGGGGATGCAATGCATGGGCTAGGAGCCTGAGATCCAGCTCTGGAGTGATGAGCCTTAGATGAGGGACTTCAGCTCCCTGAGCCACGCTTCCCTCTCCCCAAGTGGTCACCATAACCTCTTTATACATTGCACGATTCTTTCAGATGTTCCCCTCCCTTCTTCCATCTTCCTCCTCCCCGTTTGTCTTCTCCTGCTCAGAAGTGTCTCCCCAGCAAACCTTCCCCGTCTGACTCCATCCAGTCTAGAACATTTCAACCCCCTTCCTAGAGTCCAGGCTGTCACGTGCTGGGCACTGGTGTGTAGGGCTTCTCCGAGTCTTACTTTGGGTTTGCCCCATCAGACTGAGACTCCCCAAGGGTGGAATCTCCCTGTCTCCCCTTCCACCCCTTCTAGACCTTCCACCTGCTTGGCACAGGGCAGAACAAGAGAGGGAGCCTGGAGGAGGCACGCTCTGCAGCCCCCCCACCCCGCCCCGCCCGCACTCCATCCCGGCAGCTTGTTCCCTGCCTGACCTGTCTGTCTGCTCTTTCCTTCCCCCTCCTAGCAGAGAGGATGTTCCAGAATCTACTTTCTAATCTAAGCCAGAGTTAGAGACTCCCCTAGCCTCTCCAGAAGGAGGATGCATTCTGGTTAGTTCCTCCCTACGTGCCCACCCTTTTGGCTCCTGCATCCTTCTCTCTGCAGGGGAGTGGGGGGCAGGCGGCGTGCACCACCTGAGCCAGCCACCGTGACCCCCTTGCAGCTGGCTTCCCCCCTTCCTCTCCCACTCCCTGGCACAGACGGGGAGAGTGCGCTCCCTCCCCTCGCTGCCATCCATGGTACCCCCTCCTCCCTCTCTCAGCTCTTCTGTTCCCATCTTGGCTTGTCTCCCCTAGGCAGCTGAGAGCAGGGCGCCTTCGATTTCTCTATTCAGTCTGAGGCGTAGCAATTTTCTGCTCTCCCGTAATTAGGGGAATTTTAAGCAAACTCCCCGACGGATGATTACAGCAGGTTCAATCCCAGCTCCTTTGATCAGGGAAGAATGAAGACGTTGCTGGAATACTCCTCGACCTGCAGACCAGACAGACTGCGAGGCAGAAAAGCCCGGCTCTCTGGCTCCCCCTGGAGGGCTCTGGGCTTTCATCCTGGGGTCTTTGAGTGTCCTGGGCACTGGAGTGTCCGGACTGGGTTCAAATCCTGCTTCATTAAGGATTGTCCAAAACGTGACTTCTCTGGCTTAGGTCCAACATCTGGACTCAAAGCCAGGGTGGGAGCCGGAGACTTAAGGGCAAAAGGAAATTAGAGTCACCTAGGTAGGTCTCCCAGGACTGCTGTGAACGGTTTTGCCCGGCTTGCGCTGTGTTCTAGAGGTGACGTCATTACCTTTGTGGCCTGTGTGAATGGAGATTCTGAGCATCCCACCTGCATGATACACTTGATAACGTGAACCTGCCTTCAGGAAACTTGAATCACTCTCTTTTTCTAAATGTCGGAGGTAATGGGGCCTCCTTAGAGTTGAGGGGCCTCTTTTCTTCATTTCATCCATTTCATCAAGTCTTCTGTGCCTACCAGAGGCAGTAAAAAAAAATAACCGCAGAGTCTAGCCTTTGGAGCAGACTAACTAAAGAATGAATTCCAGTTTGGCTATTTTCTGTTTGTGTGACCTTGGGTTCATTAATGAACCTCTCTGAACTTTAATACCTATTTAAAGGATTATTTTGAAGATTAAATAAGGAAGGGATTTGAACACTGCTTGACTCATAATAGGTGCTCAGTAAATATTATTCCCTTTTTCCTTTCCCTGTTCAGTTCGCATATTTTTAAATCATCACCCTGCAGGGCAAACTGTATTCTCCTCTGTCTGCCCCCCACAGGCCTGTGGACCCTCAAAGCTGTGCCAGAGAGTGGACCAGGTATATTAATAGACTATTAATGTCTCCAGCATTCCCTACCAGTGGCCCGGCTTTTCCATAGGTTAATTAGGCCACATTTCAGGATAATTATGGTGGTATATTCCTACACTAATTAAGTGGCTTTAAACCATCTCCGCAACGCAGCTTCGTGAATCATAATTAAGCCTTACCGCCAGTGCTTCTGCCAGCCACGGAGCCCCGCACGCGGCAGGCTCAGCCTGCGCTCAGTCACGGGAGAGGATGCGCTGGAAGCGTGGCTTTGAAAAGAATTTATTTTCCTGGGATCATGTCAGGATGATTCCCAGTGAATACTGGATGAGGATTTGCACTATTCCTCTTCTTTTTTTCCACAAAGAGAGAGACGAAGAGAAACACGGCGTTGATACGGGCTTATCGTCTTCTCCTGGCTGCTCTGTTGAGTAGATTTGAATAGATTCCCAGGGGAGGCAGGCGGGGGTGTGAAGGGGAACGCCGACGAGCTCGGCGCCTGGTTGCGCGTGCCAGTCTCTTGGGAGTGAGCGTGAGGATGCGTGTCACAGCTGTTGTTCAGTAGAGATCTGTGTCAAACATCAGCCTACTCAGCTCACGACTGCCTGCTGATTGCAGACAGCTACCCCAGGGGATGCCTGTTTGAGAAGGCTGGACAGACGGACCTCCTCCTTCCTGGCTTGTGTTTTTGACATGCCCTGTAAGGTGAGCATCTCACACATCAACAGGGGCCACCATTTCAGCCACTGTCAGGACTGGCTTGTGTCATGGGGGGAGGACTGTTGCCATTGCCATGAGATCTAGCTTTGCGTCCTGGTTCCACCACTTGCTGACTGTTACCTTCAGAAAGTCATCTGGCTTCCTGAAGCTCAACTGTCTTATCCGGAAAATGAAAAGAATACCAGCTGTCTCATAGGACTGCTGAGAAAATTGAGGAAGACAAGAGGAAAGTGCCAATGACCTGGTGTGAGAAGACAGCAAATGCTCAGCTGTCCCTCCAGCCCTGGAGCAGAGTGGCCTGGATGGAGCCACTGCCTTCTGGGGCTCTGAGCACTTATTTGTCACATGGCTCTTGGGTCTTCAGACTATCTGTTTACGGAGGCCACAGAGTCCCCGGGCCGCTAGATCCATGGCCTCAGATCCAGTGGCTCTGTGTGTTCACCCCTGGGGCCGCCAAGGCTCGAGTTTCCTCCTGCCCGAGGGAAAACGCCAAGTGTCTCATCAGCTCCTACCCTGGGAGCTTGGAGAAGCTTCTGTGGGACACAGAGGCAAGTGGAGAATGGACGTGAGATGCCTGGAAAGGTTCCTGGATCCGAGTTCTGGGAGCCTCCACTGTAGGCTCACTGTCCTCCACAAGCTTGGCCTTTCTGATTCTCCTCTGCCGGCCTCCCTGACCTCGCATGGTGCCACCTCTCCACTCCGCTTCCTACGGTCCTGCCTCACCCACCCCAGCTGCCTTCCCGGGACCAGCTGCTCAGGCAGCAAAAGGCAAAAGGGAGGCTTGTCCTTGCTCTCTCTTCCTCTCTGTGGAGTGATGGCCCCAGGCATTTTGAGTAAGACACAAATCAAATAAAGACAGGTGACAATACACTAGCATCTTCTCTGGAAGCCAGGGAGACACTCAGCTGTCCTCAGCAAGAAGACAGGGAACTAGGGGGACGGGGAGGATGCAGCATTTATTTAACCTGGTTGTCACACACGCAGCCCCCGGCTCCTCTGACAAGAGAACACCATATGAAGACGCAGATAAGCTGAGCTGGAAAATTGACAGTCACATGGAGGCTCCGGCTCCCCGTTCACGGCTCTGTTAAGCAGAGGGAGATGAGAGGCAAGTCAGGCTTCCCTCCAACACAACCTGCATATAGAGGGGGTCAGCCTTGCTCCCCTGATGACAGAAAGGCCCTCCTGGCCTTGCAGGACATGAGAGCCCTGGGCAGGCACCCAATCAAATTGAGAAGGAGAAGGGGGCGGTTTTCTTGTAGAGAGGCAGGTCAGATCCAAGGTGAACGTCCTACTATTTGCAATGAGAGGAGGAGGAGAGGGTGAGGCGGTGGGCAGGGGCCCAGCACAGCACAGTGGGAGTGGACTGGCGGCCACATAGTGGCCACACAGTTCTGCTGGCAGCAGGAACAAAGCCCTCTGGGGACCTCCGCTGAGCAGGAGGACCTCTGTGGGAGGCGGAGGCCGGGTAGGAGGTGGGGATGAGCAGTAAGCAGTCTGGAAGGGGAGAGGTAGTGGGGAGGGGAGGGGGTTGAAGGGGAAGGATGGTACTTTCTGGGAATAGAGTCTGGAGCCCTGGGGCCCAGCCTAAGGAGACAAACCCCAGCATATGACCCTCACACTGATCTCATCAGGAAGACATGCATGGACATTTAAACACTTCATGCATGTTCATGTGTGAACACACATCTGTGGACACACACCCAGGTGAGCATGTACACATTAACACGAGGTAGCAGAGGACAGTCCTGGCTAGACCACCAATCCAAGGTCACAGTGTGGCCTTCGGTATATAACTGTTCTTCTGTTAACCTCAGTCTCCTCATCTACACAATGGGAATGAACCATCCCTTCCCTGCTGATCTTCAAGAGCTGTCTTGGTGATGAGACAGAAGAAAGGGAGGAAAAGAGAGGGAGTGAAATCAAACAGGATAAAGCAGGGTGACCAGAGGCCTGACTACTTTAGAGAGTGGGCAGGGATGGTCTCTTTGAGGACGTAATGTTTGAATTGAGACTGGAATGATGAGAAAAGGTCATCAGGGTAAACATCAGTAAGGACAGAGAAGGTGGAGGAGGAGAAGGACACTTTAGGTGCGGAGGGGAAGAGGACGCCCTGTGAGGGGAGCACACCTGGCCTCTTTAAGGTCAGGGGTCCAGAGTGGCTGGAGCAGAATTTTAAGCAAAGAGGACAGCGATGAGTATGTTGAAGGAGTCATCGGTAACCAAGTGCGTCCAGGACCCAGGAGAGGGCCTGGCACAGAGCAGATAGGAATAAATGCTCCTGAATGAGTGAATGAATGAATGGTCCCAAGAAATGAGATCTTAGAAATGGACTTTCACCATCTTCCTGACTTCCTCAGCCTCAGGAGCAGAGGGACCAGCTGGGATGGAGATTTGGCTTTGGGGAACATTCTTTTCAACTAAACCCAACTCTGTGGAGCAAAAGAGGATAAATAGAGGTCAAAGACCTCTTCTAGGGACAGTGTGAGATAATAGAAAATGTATATATATATTGGTCCCTGCCCCTGGTTCCTGGCACAACACTCCTAAAACCCTCATAGTTCCCTAAATGGTGAGGGTGCCAGGAACACCCTTTCCCCTAATATTTGATCTTTGATCCAGTTTGTGATTCCAGGCTGCCAAATCTCTTAAAATTTCCTGGGTGAGAGGAGTGTCCTTTGTTCTAATGAGGTGACTGGGTGGGCTCTTGGATGACTCTTGGATGGGGGTGGTCACCACAGTGACCAAGACATGATTAGAATCTTGGAAGTTTCAGTCCCATCCCCACTTCTCAAGAGAGGGGAGAGGAGCTAGAAATGGAGTTAATCGATCATGCTTATGTG